GCGCGCTGTAGCGCTCCTGCGAGAACACCGGCGCGTTGTCGTTCACGTCCAGCACCCGCAGCGCCAGCACCCTGCTGCTCTGCAGCGCCGGCCACCCGCCGTCGGACGCCCGCACCGTCACGTTGTACTCCGACTGCTGCTCCCGGTCCAGCTCTCTCGCTGTCACCACGCGGTAGTAGCTGCCCTGCGGGCCCTCCAGGCGGAATGGGACACCCTCGTCGAGGGAGCAGCGCACCTCGCCGTTGGCCCCCGAGTCTCGGTCGTGCACCTGTAGCAGGGCCACAACAGTCTCCGAAGGGGCGTCCTCTGAAATCTCACTCAGTGCTGACCTCACAGAAATCTCAGGCACGTTGTCATTAACGTCTGTCACCGCGATCGCAACTTTCGCTATGTCAGAAAGGCTGCCGCCATCCCGTGCCTGCACCTCCAGTTTGTAGTCGTCGCCCTCCTCGAAGTCCAGGCTTCTCAACAGCGTGATCTCTCCAGTCTCAGCATTCAGCTGGAAAATCTGCAAGGCTTTTTCTGTAATTGTTTTCAACGAATATTTCACGTGCCCATTCAGACCCTCGTCGGCGTCTGCGGCCGTGACGGTGACGAGGACAGAGCCCACGGGCACGTCCTCCGGCACACGCACCGTGTACTCCGCCTGGCTGAACACGGGCGCGTTGTCGTTCGCGTCCACCACCGTCACGCGGATCCGCGCCGTGCCCGTCCGGGCCGGATCGCCGCCGTCCATCGCCCTCAGCACCAGCTCGTGGAACGCCGCCTCCTCCCGGTCCAGCGCCTTCGCCAGCACCAGCTCGGGGCGCTGATCCCCGCCGGGGCCTGTCTGCACGGCCAGCGAGAAGTGCTCGTCGCCGCTCAGCTCGTAGCTCTGCAGGGAATTCTGTCCAGAGTCCGGGTCATGAGCTCTGGGAAGTGAAAACCGCGAACCAGGGGCTGAGTTCTCACTTATCGTCTCCTCCAGCTCTATTTCCTTAAAGTTTGGCGCATTGTCGTTAATATCCGTGATTTCTACTTCGATTTCATAAAACTTCATTTCCCCCTCCACTATCAGCTCACAGCGCAGCACGCATTTCTCCACCAGCCGGCACAGCTGCTCTCTGTCGATCCTCTCGGCCGTCACTAAATGTCCCGTCTTTCCATGCAGAGCAAAATACTGCGTCCTGTCTTCGGAGACAACTCGGACACCGCGATCTGGGGGCTCCGGCAGCTGCAGCCCCAGGTCCTTGGCCACGTCGCCCACGAACGAGCCCTTGGGCATCTCCTCGGGCACTGAGTAGCGCAGCTGCCCCCACGCCGCCTCCCAGGCCGCCAGCAGGACGCCCCAGAGCAGGACTCGCTGCCGCCGGCCCCAGCGCCTCCCCGCCGAGCACATCGCCGCCACCGCACCGCCGGCACCGCAACAGTGCAGGCAGATCCCCGCCGATCAGCTCACCGATCAGGTTCCCCCTACTTTTATGGCTCGCTTCTTGTGGCCCCGCCGCCTCTCCGTAACACAGTTCCGCACCGCGGGGTGCGATCGCAGATCTCCCGGCCGCCGATCCTCACAGGCAGCGAGCAAACCGATCGAGCCGGTCCGCAGCGGGCGGGGCTGCAGCGCTCCGACCTTCCTCTCGCTCCTCTCGGTCAACAGCGGCGCCCGCAGCCTCCTCCCCGCACTGCAGGCACCGAGCGCTGCTGAGCTCTGTCTGCTCTGCTTTGCCCACGGGCAGAGAGCGGGGACAGGGTATTCGCCGCGGAGAAATCATTTCCCTTCCAGCGTGTGCCTCCTGCTTTTATCTATCCGAGATTTTTTTTTCATTCTCGAACTTATTACGACCGGGGGAAAAGAAGCCGCCTTTCGTGAGCGTAGGGTTTCTACCTCACGTGAACCCCCAATTTGCTACAGGCAATATATTTAAAGTAAAATATTTTGTGTTATTTTATTGTGTAGAATACTCTAAATTCTATGCTTATTAATCCAAAAGCACGACCTTCAACAGAAGTTGAAACCTTCCACTTTGAATGACTTGTATGAGGACAGAATGAAAATAGGCTCGAAGATACAAAACGTGATGATCAAGCACACAGCTCTGTCTACCTTAAAATCGTTAACCTAAGTGGCCGTAACTTTTCTTTAAATTTTTCGCTTCATAGAGAAGATAGTCTAAATTAACCACTGCACCACGATTGACTAAACCAGGCATTTAAAGGCGAAAGAAGGTGGGGGTATAAAACAAACCCCGACAACTACCGTGGAGTTTGATTGCTCAGTAACCTGCCAGATGCTCTGGGATTCACACCTTCATGAGAAAAGAATACAGAAGGAAAATCCCCGGCTACTCAAAGGTCATTATCTCGCAGCCCCCGGGTTCCACAGTGGAGGTTACTGGAGCACTCTTCTCTAACTGTACTACAATTAGCCCAGAATAGGGAAGTACCTGCAGTGAACCTGGACAGAATCACCTGAATTAATACACCTGTTCATTTAATTAAATCATTCTACAGCCACAAGAAAAGGCTTCAATTTTCTCAAAAAAACCCCACAAGATATAAGGGATTGAATCTCGTCAGTAGACTATTCTTTCTTACTCAAGTTGGCTTGAGATATTTTCAACAAAATAATGCAGGACAGTAGGAGAAGTAGAGTTCTACACCCTAAAATGTGGGACCATGGATAAATGTTCAAATGGACTTGACTGAAGTGCCTACACTGTCATTTGGCGAATCTCCTTAGCATATGATATGTTTTCCAGATCATACGGTATATCCTTGCAAACACTGATATACAGCCATTGAAAAAGAAAAAAAAAAGAGAGAGAAAAATATAAACAAGGTGCAAGGTATCCTTTCTGCAAAGAGGATAGACAGAAAAAGAAACTGTCTTGTTTGTTTTTTTTTTTTTTCTATTTGATCTCATTCTACACCTTCATTTGTTTATGAAAAGAAGATCAGGAATGTTAAAAAAGATAAAACTACCAGCAAGGATAGAAAAACATTGTTGACAACAGTTAATCCATCCCACTTCTGTTACTATTCCTCCCATTTCTGTTGCACCATTCCCACCAGAATAGGTGGGGATTCTCTCAGAAGTGATGGAGAACCTGTCACTCTCCTTGCAGGTAATCCTGAGCGAGTTGCCTTTGAAAGTATAATAGTGGGAAAAAACAGTGAACAAAAGATTTTTTAGTACGCCATCCACTAAATCCAAGCACATTATTTCGGAACAAATCACTTAGGAAGAAAAAATTTGCAACACCGAGTACCAGTCCTATTCTTTCAAACCTGTCATACAGATACAGCACATCTCCCTCTGCAGAGTGACAATTCGCCTTCACGGTTACTACTAATACGATTTAACACAACTAAAGAGTTCTAGACAACAAAATTCAGTTGAATCTGAAACTGTTACCAGCGAAAAATCAAGATCAGCCTCAATGAATGCGTATTCTTGGACAAAAGAGTGACCCCATTTTTCATTCCCTCACGAAGACACGGACGAGTACTGTCCACCCAGACCATCCCTGTAAACAAGAATGAAAAAGGACAACGTTTCCTTTCTAAGGGAGAACAGCAAGACGTGCGGCTTACATAACTGCGGTGCGTCGGGGTCTGAGGGCGGCTTTTCCGCGACGGCGCTGCTGCTCAGGATCGGCTTGTCGCAGGGTTCCCCGGACAGAAGCTCCTCGGCGGGCAGGATGGGCAGCGGCGGCGGCGGCCAAGCGGCCTCGGCGGCGGCGCGGGCCGGCGCGGCCACGCACAGGTTGTAGGAGTAGGGCAAGGTGCCCTCGCAGAAGTCGGGCGGGAAGGCGGCGCCGGCCAGAGAGAAGCGCTGCGCGCCCAGGCAGCGCAGCACGGCGGGCGGCCCGGCCCGGCGCAGCCGCGCCAGCACGGCCAGCGCCACGCTGAGCACGAAGAGCGCCGACAGCAGCGCCAGCGCCAGCACCAGGTAGAACTGCAGCTCGGCCGGCGCCTCGGCGCCCGCCGGCCGCTCGCTCAGCTCCGGCAGCGCC